GATAGGTATTAATGTCTCTTGCATGTGATGTTTTTCTTCTCCTTCTTTATTGTTTATTTTAGGGTTTTTGACATCTTATCCAATAGGGCTTAAGAAGTTGTGGGATGTTTCACTCAAAGGTGAAGCGGCTCTGGTGAGACATGAAGAGACAAGTCATCGTATGTGTGCTGCTGTGAAGCTACGAAACGTGCATGTAGTATCAGATGGTGTGGCTCGCCGTTATGCCTCTTGGGTCAAGGGAATATTGGAAGAGGGAAGTGGACACGCTAGAAGGTTAGATGAGGCCCTCTCTGTTTTGAGGACGGTAGTTCAATAAAATTATCAGTCTCTTGATTAATTCATCTTAGAAAGGACGTACAAAGTTGATAATAATTTTGTTTCTTCCATGAAATATTTATTGGTTTTCGTTTATTAAACACTTTAATTAGCTGCTAACAATTTGATAGATAAAAAGGTTAATAAATGTTGGCCTTAGGTTTTTAATTGAGTAACATCCAATATACAGGGGATCCAATTGAGGATTTTTTTTATCTAGAACCTAATTTTGGATTGGGAAATTGTTAAGGGATAGATATATACTTCTCCCAATTAAACAGGACAAAAGAAATTATTTTTTTCCCAAATGTTGAGAGTATTTTCCCACATTAGTACAAGAGGATAGTTGGAAAAATAATAGCCACTAAAACACAAAAACAATGATTATAAATATAATAGATACATCATTTATAAGTAACGTATATAGTATTAACACAACTAATAGATGATATATATACTAACTACGTAGCCTTTGGTTAGGGAAAGGTCTTAGTATTTTTCACAAAATTCTATCTATATTTACAAGTTTTATTGAGATTAGTTCGACTCGTACAAGTCTTAATAGAAATATGTGAACTCAATTATTTATTTATTTTATTATTATTTTTTTATGAATGTTATAAATGTGTGTGTGAGGGTTTCATAGGTGATATGAATACTATACACTGATAACTTGATTAATAGTCCATCTCTGTTATGTATAGAGAGAAGTGATTTATGGCTAACAATAATCCTTATACACTATTTTGTCATAGTTGAGATGTATTGTCTTGATAAGATAATGCATCAGTTTAAATTGCATCGACACATACCTAATGATGTTGATATATGGCATGTTGTTGATCGTTGAACTAAAAAAAAAAAGATGATTGATCAGTAATTCATGTATAATATGTCAATTTATGGCATGCAAGGAGAGATCAAATATTTATAGAATTGTATCTGTCTATTAAGTTAAATCTCTACATGTATTAGTATATGAATATAACAAGATGATTCATAACACCACCATGGGAGTATGTGACAAAACACCCACGTGATAATTCTCGTTAGCTAACACGTAATTTTGATAATTATGAACCCCGTGTACTAAGATATAATAAATTGATATGTATGTATGAAATAGTTTTTTCTTAACATGTAATAAAATTCTTATTTATATATTAAAAATAATAATAAAATCTTTTCTAACATGATGCTACTGATAATGTTGTGCGTGATGCTTTCAATACTTGGTTTTCATTGTCCTATTCTTTACTTGATGAGGTTGGGGAGGCTCGGTGTTTGGACAATGCAATAAAAAAAGATAATCATATTATCATGCAGAACAATGATGTACTCGTGGTTTTGATAGTACAGGTCCATCAATGTAGTGTAGATCTATCATGGGGTTAATTTGTTAAATGTTTAACTATATAATTTAATTAATTTGTAATTGAATTCATATTCTTTATTGTAATGAAATATTTTGGTGTTGTGATCAATTCTTCTAATTATAAATTTACCTATTATGTAAATTAGTTGATTTTATTGGTTGTTGGCTTGAAATATAATTGCTGTTTTTGGGACCATGTTATTAGATAATGAGCTAAAAAACGATTGAGATTCAGAGTGTATGGTGTTTTAATAGGTTGTACATGTAGTATTAGCGTGACCAATAGGTAGAAAATAAGTTTTTCACTGGGAAAAAACTCCAAATGTTGATATAATTGTGAAAAGTTGGGGTAATAGTAAACTTGGTCTCACATTCTCGTGCCATAATAGAATTAAACGACGGCGATCGGTGAAGGTAATTTGGGGTGCGAGCTGGGACTTTGAATTTGGATACCCTGGATTTGGGGGTAGAATCCCTCCATATTAAACCATCAAACCAGTGGTTTTATGTAAAACCGCCTTCACACATGGTTTTCTGGGGGGTTTTCGGGAACCATTAGAGCAGTAGTTTGTGCAAAATTCTCCGCAGACATGGTTTTGTGCTGGGACGAGGTGGTTTTGAAGTATTTTAAAGGCTTTAGATGTCATTTTCCTTCCATGTGAACATATTGCTCATGAATATTGACTCTTGCAATTGGTGAACTAACAAAACCAAGTCAGGTTTTAGATAGAAAACCCTCTTTCGGTAAATACAAGGGAGGCCGCATAATTCAAAGATTCAAGGAAGAAAGGAGAAGAAGACAATAACGAGGTTCCTTTCATGCATCTTTGTCAAGAACCCATTAAAACCCTCTTTATTTGAGCCCGATTATAATATAAAGTAGCCTTTCAACGAGTGACAATGTTGACCTAAGCCATGCTGTTCCTGCCCTGTAGTTCACGCCCACAAGTGGTTCCAGGGTGGTTGCTAACTTTGGAAGCATTTTTGCATGAATTTAAGGAGATTTTAATCAATTTTCCGTGCTGACCTCGTGTTGCTTAGCTAGCTTATTATGAATAATGATAATATATATATATAAAAAATACATTTTTCATTTGAAATTGTAGAGCTAGTTGACTTGCAAAATGTCCACCCTCTCGATCTACGCGGGGAAAGTCAGAACCTTTTGGATTGGATAGACCTTCGGACCGTGTAAATTGCGTCGAGTGCCATGAATGGCCACTGCTGTTGAAATTTGAGTTTCGAAATCAAGTCCTGAATTGAAATTGGAAATCCATGACTATCAAAAGCAGACGAGGAAAAACAAGATATATAACCATCGTCTATGTATTTATAATGTGTCTATAAATATTACTCCAGAGAGTTTATGTACTTGAAAATATCAATCAAATATGGTCTTCTAGAAAATAGCATCCTGATAATTTTATCAACGAGATTATGATTTTGCAACCGTCTCCCAAACATTTTATTGGAGCTCTGCACATGGTTAAGTAAGAACTTGCCTCGCAATGTCTTGATTTTCTGTTAATGGGTCGACATCAATTATTTTATTATTTTTTTAATGATTAAGATATTCTAGTATAATTTCTCATTCACTAAAACGAAATATATTCCTAATCAATCTTAAATAGATTATGTGCATGTGCATTTGAACGAAATTGATTTATTTTGAGAAACTTCTTCCCCTTCTCTTCCTTCGAATTCAGAATCTTGTATAGTAATAGGAGACAAACCCACTTTCTTCCTAGGAACGCACAACTAATTTCATGAAATACCCATTATTAAACAATTCGTTTTTTTTTTTTTTGTGAAATTTAGGGCGGGATGCCCAGCTAACAGTTGACCCAACTTGGTTAATTTTGCATGTATACTCTCCCTTTTTCTTGTTAAGCAAATATCTTAAATCATACTCCCACAAGTGATATAAATGAGCCTTGTTAGGCGTTACGAATTGTGTGGTTCTCTCCAACTCTGACCTAAAAGTGGCATCTTGTGGTTAAGTGAATGGAGCACCTAAGAAATGCACTTCCCCCTTATTAAATGGGGTGGCTGTTCTTCATTAAAAAAATGAAAAAAATAAAAGAAGGTAGGATCTTGTTAATTGGGATTTCTCTCCGAGATTAAAAAAAAATATTGGAATCAAACAAATACTTTGTTCTCAAATTCAATGCACTGGTGAGGGGTCTACCATCTTGATGGAAGTAAAGAATAATTTAGAAAACGAGAAATTCTTTTATTACTCTTCTATTTTGGAAGAGCCTTTTGTCTTTTGGTACCAAGATAAGCCTTTTATCTCTGAGGCCCACTAATTAATTTGGCCGAACGATGAGGTGATGAAGGGCACCTCCTTTAATAAAAGTGACGATGAATCTTGAGAGCCTTTGTTTATGATTAGCTGTACTCTACGAAGTAGAATCAGGAAATGGGGCAGCATGTACTTGAAAGCAGAGTTTTTAGTGACTCTTCTTGATGAAAATATTGCAGGCGATAGTTCAATATGACAGGAGATTGCACAATAAGATGGGATAAAAAGCACATCCTACTTTATTGTGTGATTCACCCCAAACAAAAGGTTGCTTCAATTCGTATTGTACGTGTTATTTTGGAGCTATTCAAAGTGAATTGGCCATTTAACCAAAGAATTCGTTTTGCTTTACATATATATATATATATATAGAAGGTAACTTAAGCCACCAGAAAACAGTGCCCTCTGCCTCCAAAAAAAAAAAACAAAGAAAAAGAAAAAGGAAGAGGAAACTGCTCTTTGCCCTCACTTTTGGTTGCAGTCATCGTTAGTTCGAATTATGGATGGATGCACACTGTTACAATGCAGGGGACCTCCCTTCCGTAGGAGCATGCTTTGCTCCAAGCCACCCAGCCTCCAAGTGGAGGAAGCCACCGCTACCAGACACTATTCACGAGGAAGATGTCATGTGCATCATGATATTTTTTAAAAATAATTTCATAAATAATTTTTTTAGATTTAGTATCAGCACATTAAAAAAATATAGGAAAAAAACATCAATTTAATTTTTTTTTAAATACCCATTTTTAAAAAACATGCAAAAATAAAATACACAGTTACGAGGCCCACCAACCCAGGAGTGCAGAGGGCTCAATTTGCCTACCAGGGAAAAAATAAAAACAAAGATTGGGCAAGCAGAGGGCAGTGCTTTATTTCACTTCTTGGTGGGTTGACGGCAATCGATCTACCATTCTGTCCCTCAGGCCATGGTCGATGCCAGCTAGATTCTTCAATAAGTAAATTTAATTTGTGCACATGAATCGAATTATTAAGAGGACTGCAAACTAAAATGAAGGCAGAAGATCGTTTCCTTGCCAATACTGCACCGCTAATAAAATGAAAGCAGAAAAAGAATATGAAGGAATTTTTATCCTTGAGCACTGATTCCACACATAGCAAACTCTCGACAACTCCCATTCTGTCACAGGGTACAATCCAATAGCATAATAAGCAATTCGACATCTGATTATTTCTTGAAGACAGTCTACAAACAAACAGCTTGAATGAAATATTGCTCAGTAGTAAGCTTTTCGAGGATTGTTCTGCCAATGGGAAACGGGAGATCATCAGAACAAGGCTAGCCTTGTAGTAATTGAACTTGCAATTCCAAGGAGGATATAATGGACTAATTCATTAAACTAATAACAAAACATCAAATATGTGAAAAAGGAGAACAAGAGAAATGAGGGATAATACCAGGGGGTTCGGCCGGTGACGGTAACCAAGCATCATTCGCTTCTTGTACTGCTCGTATATATCATCATCAGGAGTCACCTCCCCAGGATTGTGAGCACCAACACCCAAGTGATCCTTCTTTACATCACCAGCCATGATCGGATTTGAAATACCATTTCTGGAGCTCCCTAGACCCTCACCTGAATGCCACACACTATTTCAGGCTTCCACTCCACATTACGGAGCAAAAACAAATAGTTTTAAATAAATAGAGATGTCCAACTAAGTTTTCAGAAATCATTACAATCCACTCAAGTATAATACATCCCAAGTCATGCTGCAAACGAGGAATTCAACAAAAACCACAAATGATTCCAACTCAAACATGTGTTGATTGAGAGGGAGAAATGAACTGGAGTCATCTGTATACCATGCATCTGAATCTACATAGTCCATCTTTTACAAAATTCAAGCAACTTGTAGACATTTTAAGGAGTTCAAGCAGATCAGTTATAATCTTGCTTTGTGGCCCTCAATAAATAATGATCAAGTTGAACAAAATTCTTTAGTTCCAATCTTTCACGTTAAAAAGAAGTGGTATTCATGAGAACACCTTGTTCCCATTTCCTTGCTGAACCAACATGCAAAAAGGGAAACCATTAGAATAAGTTCACTTTATCAATATAGTAATAAAGGCTCTAATTTCATTCCTTTGACTGATTGTTCACATCAGATCTCAGGTTTCCCAAACTCCATGTACAATTGTTTCCTCAAGGCCCCAACAGCCAAACATGCAAATAATTAAACTCCATCTGGATTTTCAAAAAACATAATGCAAAATGCTATCGATAATTCACATGGTACAAATTAGGCACTGGCAAAATAAAGACTCACGAGCACACTTGGTTCCAAATTCCCAGCAGACCCATTACAAAGTACACTTTAAAACACACGGTACAAATCAGGAACTGGTAAAAAAAGAGCTAACACAGGCCAAATGAACTAGAGGAAACATGCTATGAATAATTTATTTATTTTGTAGAAGAGAAGATAATTGCAATCCTGCCATGCAAAGAAAACACCGTGAATATCCCATCATGAAAGGATTATTTGATTCATGATTTATGACTTCAGAGAAAACTAGTTTTTCATGTGCACCCACATGTGTGGGTAAGAGAGAAGAAAAGAGGGGGAGGGGAGGGACCTTCTTTCCAGCCCATTTTGGACAGGAGTTTATGCCCAACATTATCAGCCTGGATCTTTGCCCTTTCTGCAGCCTCCTTAGCAGCCTTTCGTGCAGCTGCATCGTTACAAGTAGACAAGAACTTCTCAAGCTCTACTGGTGGGATGTAGTCACCCATGTGATGACCTTTTTTGGACATAGCTGCAGTGCCACAAAATTTCAAAATAAGACCATTATATGAAGAAATCATTTGGAGACCACAATTTCTCTGCACACAAAGCATATAATAACCTTGAAGGGAAGCAGGAGGAGGCATCTCATCCTTAGAATGTCTAGGTTGTCTCCTCCTCTCTTCATGAGCAGCCTTCTTCATGTAGAACTCCATCATTGCTATAGGATCTGTACCTGCTGGTGCACTAGATTCACCTGCAACATGAAAGAGAAGTAAATCCAACATTCAACATATGGATACAATTATGCATAACACATCACATGATTGATGGATGGCTTGCCAACATAACATGGAAGTCGACAACTAGACAATTCATCCATTTGCACACAAGAGAGTGATGTACCCGACTTGCCACCTGTATCTCTCTACATGATAATAACATGATAGAAAAATGTAACTGCTAAAAATCACAGGAGTCCAAAGAAATTTCTAGACACTCGTTGTAATATACAACCAATACATATATTCTTTAAAAATCTGACACATAATGTTGGAACACAAACCAACTATCCAACATTAATTGGCTTTAAACATGATGAAGCCAATTCAGTAAAAGATGCGTGAAACAAAGTCTGTTTGGTAAGCATTCTATTGTAGAGAGAGATTGATGGATTTGGATAGACCCAAGCCTGAAAGGTCTGAGCAGGGGTACAGAATTGGATAAACTAACATTAGGATTATCTAATTTCATACAATCTACAGACTCCAATCAGTTGACTTTCACCAAGTGCGAACATCTCCATTGTGCTCAAGCAGCTTCTATTGTTAAAAAACTTAAAGAACAGATTTTTTTCTCATGGGTTATCAATAGAAACAAAATTTTCAAATATATCCATTGCATACTGATATGTGCTATTACCAGCTCTTCCTGAAGATGTTGACATCGAACCCTTTGGCTCTTCAGCATCATCATATAAAGCTGAAGCGGGAATTTGGTAATTTGAATGCTGCTGCTGCAAGCTCTGATAACTACCTGTGGATTTAGATGCTGGAGTACTTGTACCACCTATGCAGACAGACATGAAAATTTCATTCTATGATGAAAAAAAATTGAACAAGGAAAATTAGACACAACAACACAAGCAAAGAACCCCAACAAGACAACAAACAAATAACAATCCTTCTCCTAGAGCAACATTACAATACTAATTTAATATGTCGAGCATTTTTTATCAGTCATAAATGAAGAAAAATTAAATCTTAAGAAATGACTTTGTGTCAACATCAACATGTGAACTTTGTTCCTGGACTTATGGGCAGCGAAAATGCAGCCATGGAAGCTTCAAACAGCCTAAGCGCCCAGCCAAAAAGAATATAACTGTCACAAGGATTGTAATCAAAGTACTAACCACTAGAAGAGATTTGAGAATCCCTGCTCTGTGAAAGAGCCTTTTCTTCTTCAGCGAGCCTATACTCATAGTACTTGAAGTCGGCACAATTCTCATCAAATAAAAATCTGCAAATAACACAAACACCACTTATAAATAAAGCATTGAAGACCCCAACGTGCAACATGAAGCAAAGTAAAAGAATATTATCAGAACTAAAAGGAAAATTATTGCGTAATGAAGCTATTGTTACTCATGACTAACTTGAATGGTGTATCTCCAGGATTCTTTTGGCGTGTAACATTCTCAAATTGCCTTCCATGTTTAGCAACAAAACTTGCTAGTTTGTCTGCAACATTCTTCACAGTGGGATCACTTGGGGGAGGTGGTGCTGCACATCACTTATAAAACTGATTAATACCAGGAGCATGAACAAGGGAATGCAAATTACTCTTGTAGCATGCGTGCCACAAATGCCAAATCTTTCATTGAACATCTCTTTCCACCAATGTTCGTTGGTACTTAAGATATAAGCTGCATTCATGAGACAAGAAACATTCAAGAACGATTTGTCCTATTCATTTGCCAGTCAAGATCAGAGTAGCCATACCCAGATAATGGTTTCAATTGCACTCTACTTAACAACAGGGGCAAACTTTATTCCACAGCTAAAGGCTCCTTGTTGGAAGAGATGCATACAAATAAAAGCTTTAAAAACATGAAGACCTTAGGAATTAATGAAGATTGATAGCTACTAAACACTCAAATGTGTCAAGGGGAAGGGGTGAGAAAGGAAATCATTTTACAAAAACTTTTGCTCTAGTCATCTGTTTTGCAGATGAGAAGATCAAAGAAACATATACAAGTGACATACATGCAAATCCTCAACACAAATTCAAACACATAAAAAACTACGAGCAAAAAAGAGAATAGAATATGAATCCTTAGAAAGAAATAGGTATAAACATAAGCACTCTAACAGCAGTGTGTGCAAGAGTGGTAACTAAGATCATATCTGACACTGCAACAGACATCTTGTCAGAATGTAAAGCCACATTCATAAATGATAAATATCTCAAGTGTCATTTATCAATCAAGAAGTTGAAACAGCAAAGAATTCACAATAAGCTTTCACTTCAACTCAACCAGATGAGAGATTATTTATATTAGTAGTAATTACCAACATCCAATCGTCTCGACGATTGTTCAGAGGTATCCAATTGACCCAACTTCTGCCTCTTTGCCGACACATCACCTGAAGCATTTACAGCATCAATTTCATCTTCATCCTCCTCATCTTCACCCAACTTAACCGCAGGTGCCATAAGCTTTGACTTCTGTTTCAAACTGAAAGCAAGTTTGCCACCCGAAGCAGTCGGCGGGGTCTTTCGTCCATCGTTAGCCTTCAACTGCATAGTTACTTTACCAAAAGAAGGTTTAGGGGTCACAGACCCTGAAACAATTGTTTTGGGTTTAGAATCCTTTTCTGCAGCCCCCTTATCCTTTTCCTCTTCCTTCCCATTCCCTTGCTGAAGTTGTTTAAACTTCTCCATGAATGAACCATCATTAACAAACAGACTGGACGGTGCTCCTTTGTCCATTTGCTAAAGAGCCAAATATCCTCAGGTTGTTTACAGGAAGTTACTGTCTGACAAGTAAGCTTTCAAGCAATTTAGACATACATGGCGACCTTTAGGCCAGATCTTTGCGACTGTAAATCTTGCGTTTCTTAATATCACAATAATAGTAAACAGAAGGAAAAATTGATAGTATGTTACTGATAATCCACCCATATCCTTAATTCACAAAAACTATATCTTCTGCGACTCCATTGGGACTAAAAATTACTAATCATACAAAGCTGCTAGCAATAAATTAACAATCCACAGAAACTAGACCAAGCCTGCCCAACCACTCTGTCGCTTCTAAAACCCCTCAACTTCAACTACTTGCAAGCCCAGATCCCTTTTTTTTTAACTCCCATATTTGTTTTAGCAACTTTATTAGTTAAAAAAAAAAAAAGATTTTTAGCTTTTTTTGTTAAAAACTTTCACTCATTGCAAGAAAATAACCTGACTCCCAATCATGGAAAAAACCCAAATACTTGAGAAATTCTATAATCGATACAAAAACGAATTTTCCCAATCCTTTGACGGATATAATCAATCACTAACTCTAATAAACTGACATGAATTCAATTCAGGTACGGGCGATATAAGAGAAAAATAATTCAAACGGAAAAAATTAAACAATTCAAACAAAGAATCGGCAACCCTAGAAATCAGGCAAAAAAAAATAGATGAAATCTGAAACAAGTGAATAAGTAGTACCTGAATGGTTTATTTCGAGCGTTGATGTCAATTTGTGAACTTTACTAAGAACGATCGTGATGATTTTCTGTTTCTTTTGGGAGCTTCATGGAGAATGGAGAATACGAGGATGAGCTAAGGCTGCTGAAACCTTTTTTATTTAGAATGGAGGATACGAGGATGAGCTAAGGCTGCTGAGCCCCTTTTTTATTTTATTTTTACTTCGAAGGGACCTCTAAATTGGGTAAAGGAGGGTAAGGTGCTGCTTTCGTTTATGTACAGAGTAAAAGTAACACTATTGTCCTTGGTTTTGACAAAATATGTGCTACGGTACTCTAAATACTATTTCCCTTCTCATTTTCTTTATTTCTTTTTTTAAAAAAAAAAAAAGAAAAGAAAAGAAAGAAATACATGGCACGTCTTCGGACCAATGATCTCATATGAATTAGGTAAGTTTTTTTTTTTTTTGTCTAATCCATCCCTTTTAATTGTTGTAATATGAAATTGCATAAGAGTAGAATTCAACATGATAATAATAACAATAATATAGTGTGTCTCGCTATAATAATGTGAATAAAAAGATTTTTTTAATATAATAGACAATTATTAAATTGATTTTTTAATTATAATATATGATATTCGAAGAGAATTACCCCATGTTGTTTTCGTCAAATCCTATTTGTGACTTTATTTGTGAGAAAACAGAAGCAGGTAGGGAGCTAAGGCCACCTGTCCAACAATCTCGAGGATCAGATTGATACTTAGAATAAGATGAGAGGCTGTTATTTCTTATTCTTGAAGGAGTTATTTGTATAGCTCCATCAAAGCAAGAAGCCGAAAATGCAAGAGAACCTGGAGGAAATTCCATTTCCATGGAGACAAGTAGGAGCATAGAAATCTTAAATGCAATAGCCCCTTTAACTTTCAGCTTCTTTCTACTCAAGAGCTTCTGCTCTACTTACCACAACTCAAGAAGCATCTCAACTACTCTCTTTCATTACCTGAACGCTTCTCTCCTCCTTGCTCTGTATGTAAATACTCTCTTTAACTTCCTGTTTCAATACGTATAAGATGCTTTATTTATCTTTTGAGGGATGTTTCTTGTTTAATATTGTGGGCATGGCAGAAAGAGGGAACTCTTTGCCGAATGAAGTAGATGAGGGAGTTAATAGAAACTTCTAGACAGTTGAGCTATGAGCAGCTTCAATTCCCCTCAGAAACTTGCGCGCATGGCACTGAGGATATCTTGCTTGATTTTGGCAAACCAGTGAGAGAACCAATCATTTATTTGATAATCATTTTGTTATAAGTTATTTTTAGGAGAGACGATAGGTGAAGTGTGTATTGCCAAGTAACTCTTCGTAATGTAGTCAGTGTGGGTCTCCCACTCTTGTGGTTCTGTCAAATGCTTCTTTGCTCTTCATGAAACACAACTGTATGCAAATCGATTCCCGTTCCCAGATGAATTGCAAACTTCTGGAATGAAGGCTACAGCTAGGCCCTCAAGTTCAAGAAAAACTCCATTCGAGCTTCGTTCTGTGTAATTGCCCATTACAAAGTTGCAGTGCAATACAGAAATTGTAAGAAATCATAACAAGACACGTGCTTTGTCCATGAATGGATAAACAAGTGCTTGAATCTGAATATCCCAAAACATATATATTTTCATCGGGTTTGTTACGACCACCAAGAATAAAACAAGCTACTATAGGTGTGGCCATGTCAACAACAGAGCAAACTCAATAAAAATGAAACAGCTGAATATAGTGGAGAAAATATTTCACACTTATCCTTTATTTCACGTGGTTCGTAAGATCTTTAGCGAAAAAAGAAACGATTTAGAGGCACTACTGACAATGGTAATGTTTCATTCTACATCCAAAGTTTATAAAGTAAGAAGGGCGCATCTTGGCTGAAAAACTACAGAGCACCCCCCCATGTGTGCGTGTTCCTAATACACGTGCTATGGTACCGATACAGCATTATTATAGTACAGCGTATCAAACTCAAACTCAGTCCTATACAAGTCACTGCCTGATTTCATCCTTGATTTTATGAAATGGAAGACCTGCCAGAAAAGGAGAGCCTGGTGTGATTTTATGGGGGGACATGGACTGAAAGAAAGGCCCCAGAAGATTAGGTAAGACTGACATTCAACAGGAATGCTTATAAACTTTAATGCAGGTTCTCTCATGTCGTTAGTTTGTATTTCATTGATGTACCTGGAAGATCAATGGTCCGGAATTTATACGGAGATTCTTTCTAAAGGGGAAAAGAAGACAGATGTCCTCAGCTCCACAGCTACAAAGTGATGAATTGTATCAGCATCCCTAATCAATTCGTGAACCCATAATTTGGTAGAAGAATTCTCGTCCAGTACTAATGAATAGCACTCATGAGTACGTTGCTGATTATTGTGCTATAGTAAACTTGTTCTACATGGCAAGATCTACTTTTGAAAAAGGTAAAAACTGAATACAAGAAAACGTCTTAATCATTAGGATGGGGGGTTTAATAATGAAATCATGGTAGGGTCTTAGTACCATTGTGGTAGATGATATAACCATTGTCCATTATCAACTGAAAGTCTTCGTGTTTTAGCATTTTCCAGCAGATAATGCTATAAACGCAGCCTTTTGCTTAGAAACTGAAAAGCTGGAGAAGGGGCATATGTGTTTTGGATTCACCTTTCCTGTCTGGTGACTGAGGAAGCATGGGCTAGGGTCCCTCATGGGCCTACCTCACCTATATTTCCTGCCTGCCTTCGGAATTTGATCGCAATGTAATGTATCATCATAATATCACCAGGAGAGAGAGCTGGAAGGTTTGTTGCAGAAAAAGTTAATGGTTGATTCCAAGAATTATTCTTTCTAAGATGTCAATTAACCGCTCTCGGGTTAAGATCAAGCTGTAGATAAATATAGATTGTGCTGTATTATTAAAAAAAACAAAAACTAACGTGGAATCGGAATTAAGAAACAAATGCAGCTAAATCATGTAATGTGCTAGCTACAGGTGCATGTGCAAGCAACTAATCACAGTATTTATTTATCAAAAAAAATGTAATGATCACAGTATGATCTTGAACTGTAAATTAGAAAACATATCAAGGGCATACTGATCCAGAACAAATATATATAAGCAACCTCGTCTCCCAACTTCCAAAACCTCCTCTCCCCTCTTAATCATCTCTCTATCTCTCTCTCTCAACGCACTCTGTTTTCATTACCGCCATCCTCTCTTAAAAACACAAAACTATCATATTCTAGCAATTAGCAAAAGACCTCCTCCGGCATTTTACTCTAGCAAAACTCAAAAATCATCAGGGATGAGTGTGTTACTACTCACAACACTAACTCTCCTCACCCTCATCTCCGTCACTTCCAGCTGCACTCCATCAGACCTAGCAGCGTTACAAGCCTTCAAGTCTACCCTCGATGAACCATACTTAGGCATCTTCAATACCTGGGCAGGCACCAACTGCTGCTCCAACTGGTACGGCATCAGCTGTGACCCTACCACGGGCAGAGTCGCAGACATCAACCTGCGTGGTGAATCCGAAGACCCCATCTTCGAAAAAGCTGGCAGGTCAGGTTACATGACAGGTTCCATCAACCCTTCAATATGCAAACTTGACAGACTCTCTACTCTCATTCTAGCAGACTGGAAAGGGGTTTCAGGTGAAATCCCTGAATGTGTTGTTTCTTTAAGTAATCTCCGAATCTTGGATCTCATAGGTAACAAGATCTCTGGTAAGATTCCTGCTAATATCGGGAATCTACAGAGACTCGCGGTTTTAAATCTTGCCGATAACGGACTCGCTGGAGAGATTCCTTCGTCACTTACAAAGTTGGCAAACATGAAGCATTTGGATCTTAGCAACAATATGCTGACTGGTCAGTTACCTTCTGATTTTGGTAACTTGAAAATGCTTAGCCGTGCATTGTTGAGTAAAAACCAGCTAAGTGGAGCCATACCAAGCTCTATATCGGTTATGTATCGGCTTGCAGACTTGGATTTGTCTGTTAATCAGATTTCGGGCTGGCTACCAGACTGGATAGGCAGCATGCCGGTTCTTTCTACGCTTAACTTGGATAGTAACATGATTTCCGGTCCATTGCCAGAGTCTTTGTTGAGCAGTACCGTTTTGGGGATGTTGAACTTGAGCAAGAATGCTATTGAAGGTAACATACCGGATGCTTTCGGGCCGAAAACTTACTTTATGGCTCTTGATTTGTCGTACAACAATTTTAAGGGACCGATACCCAGCTCACTTTCGTCGTCGGCATATGTGGGGCATTTGGATTTAAGCCATAACTATCTATGCGGACCAATTCCTGTTGGGTCACCATTTGATCACCTTGAAGCATCCTCATATAGTTTTAATGATTGTCTTTGCGGGAACCCATTGAGGGCTTGTTAATGTATTGATCGGCCGATAAAGCGTTAAATTGGGGGTTTCGTTTTTCTCCTGGGGTACCAGGTGAATGTTGTTTCATAGATGTGTCTAAGTGTCGTTATTGTAAAAGTATCATCATCGTACTAAAGTGTTGAGTTATTTCTAGAATTTATTGTTGTTGATCCTAAGTTGAAATGGACAAAACGTAGGGCAGTTGCATGCACGTGATAAGCAGCATGAGGTAGATGGACAGAGATTCTTGGGAAAGTTAGATTAAGATCGTTTAATATTAACTACTAAGCAGTAAGCACCATTATTATTATTTGTATAATGAATGGGAATTGTTGAAATAATTGTAAATAATAGTTTAGTTTTTCAAAGTAATTTTTATTTAAATATATATTAAAAAAAATTTAAAAATTTATTTTTAATATCAATACAATACATTAAAATAATTTAAAAATATATAAAAAAATTAATTTTGAATAAAAAATAAATATTTATTTAATATTATTTAAATTACATTTTCAAATACTATCTTGGCAACGGGACGGGGACGCAGTCCTTGTATAATTTGATCACTCTGGGGTAACGTAATCAAGAACATATCAAGCACTTTCTCTTTGTTTTTTATTCTTTGGATCCGAAAGAACAACCATGGCAAAAACAGCATCCACGTGATCAACAGCAGCAGGATCATAAAGATATTCGACATCATTCGTATGTAAA